TTTTAAGGAAGGTGCCATTATCGTTGTTAGTGACCAAGACTTTTGAGTTTGATCTAAAACCTTCAAAGACACTAGATTCAACAAGTGCTGACGCGCGAACCGGAAGTCTCGCGTTAGTTTATTATCTCTCGTCGATTACTTTTTGAAAAAGATATGAATCAGTCATGATTCCGGAAGGGACCCTCGGATATGCAGACGCTGTACGACAACTGAAAAGAAGCCACACGGATGCCACTGCGCGATCCCACCTGTGAGTAAAAAGTGGGTGGACTGATATAGTTAACTGTTGAAGCATTGAGGCAATTCGTTCCTGAATAAGCGCGGAGGTGACTTTTAAGCGCACATCCAAAATTCCACTATAGGCAACAATGGCCGAAAGCAAGCGTCGTTCACCTATGTCGCACTTCTTAGTAACTTTTCGTAAACTCACATATGTCATGAATCATCACCATTTTTGGTGATATTTGCTTGGATCACTTTTGTAGCACGAGCACCAGTTGCTTTTTCTTGCCGTCGGCGCTCGGGTAGCCGCCAGATTTTCACTCGTCTGTGCATGTGTTGTATGCTGTTTCCGCAACGACCTGAGCTATTTTATTGCAAGCAACTGAAATTTCACGCTTTAACCATGAAAGTTCCTCCATGTCTATAGGAATTTTAAATTTGTTTTCTTTGGCAAACACAGGGTGCTTGTTGAATAAACTGGCACTTTGCGGAAAGCCGTTAACATCTGAGTCATATTTTGTGAGGGATTCTTAATGATTACGTCACACGGGCAGTGTAATAACTGCGGTAACAATGCACGAAAACGTAATACGTATCACATACTCCGCTACGACAATTGCCAAATATGTGGCGGGCGAAGATTTACTACTATGGTGGCTTGCCGAAGTGCATTGAAAATCTGCCTGAAGGCGTCCTTGCGCCATCGGAGACGGTCTCCAGTGTCGAGGTAGCAAGGGGAATATTTATGATCTACTCGCAACGTTTCAGTAGTTGAACGTGTGAATCCCCTTGGGTAAGACTTCCAAATGAAACGATAAAGTTCTGCTACATGGTGCGTTATTGCATCCATATATTCCAATGTTGTTGGATTTGGGCTGACATCTTCCAGATACAAGCAAACAAATTTAGCATCCTCCGTCAGTACTTCTCGTTGCCGAAGCTCCATCCCCCATTGTTGGATACTCATGTTTGGATTTGGTCTGGCTGTTGCTTGAATGAGCGTTTAATTTGCTTACTATCGGTACATTTGGGCAGAAGCAAGACCGCGTGCGAATTTTACTCGTTGATCTTGACGTTGGTACTAATCTGGATGTATATGTTTAACCGGCATGTTTCAGCACAGTGTTTCGAGCTTTTGCTGGTTCTGATAATATTGTATTGAAACATCCTCTAGATGTCGCGACAATGTCACCACCATAGGTAAAAGGGGTGTTACCCAACGACGTTAGCATTGCCACCCAAAAGTAATTTTGCCTCCAGTTACAGCGGAATGTAAACACTTATGGGGAAAAAAGATAGTGAAAAGTTTGAACCTTCTGCCGCGGTACGCAAAAACTCAGCAAGACTTTGCTTTCAGGTGGCTAAAGTGGTTTTGGCCCTGAAACACCGCCTTATTTGGGGACGAAACAAACAAAAATTAATTCTAGGATTCTTCATTCGTTGTTACCGACAATAGTGATGCAGGCCTACCACTCCACTGTGGGTTTTGCTCTCTTTCAACTCACTAGGTGGACGTAGTCCCCAGGAGTTAACTTGAACGTCAGTTTGCTCGACTGCTAACTCTTGCATACATATGGAAAGCAAAACCACTGGGGATCACTGCAGTTTTTTGAGCGACTGCAACCTCCAACGAGTTCGCTGTTCTCGTATAAGTTTTCGTATAAAAGATAATGCAAGTATGTAGCCATAAGGCATGCCCAGCAATTTGCTATTCACGCCCATTTGGGCTTTGAACCAAAAACCAACAAGGCAGTTTGGTCATTCCGTTTTCTAAAAACGGTTCAGTGTTACTTTGGCACATCACTTTTAAATCGACTTTGTTGAAGCGTCGAGCTTGATTACGGGTCAAATTCCATGTTGATTCAGCGGCATATCGTACTGTAGTGCACGCTGCCTGTCAGTTTGATTGATTTATAGTAAGTATTGGTGATGTACAAACTTGCTTACTGGGCTTTGGCTCATGAGCTTTATTTCTGTTTTCCATCCACAGAAATTGTCGTGAACACCTGCCTTCGGAGAATCACTGTCCCCTGGTGCTTCCATAGCGTGCATATTACAATACATTCACTGACTTGCAAGCTGATGGTGCTCATTATCCGCACAATGCTATCAGCCGCAAAACCTTTTCAAATAGAGTAAACCTTTCTGCGCCGAAATGTTGCATTTTGTTGCGTATGTGCTCAAACCAAAAGTCGTCCTAGTCTACATAAACGTTTTCGCAGCTCACCAAATTTCATTGTCCACTGGAGCAACCATGCCCCTGACTAAGGAGTCTTATGGAATAATTTTCCAGCATCGCTGAGACCCCGGGATGCCTAATTGGGGTTTAAAAGTTCGGACTAGTGCTCTCCACGTAATTGCCCGATAGCTTAAGTCCATCAGGGACGCGTCATAACTTTCGAAAATTCTATTCCATTGTGCGAATACTGAGTGCCCGCCCCGTAGCACAGCAAGTACAAAGTCGTATGTACGCCAAAAATTTCGAAAGGGGATTAAATAAACCAAATCGCAAAAAAGTGACGGCAGATGAGGGTGATTCTTCGACTGAGCACATATGCAAAGGAAGGCAAAATTTTGACAAAAGGTACCATTCCACCCACAAGAGTTTTGCAGAAATATGTATTGTGCGTCCAAGGCGCGGCCAAGCTACAAAAAGATTCAATTTCCTAATACGCATTAAAAAGATGGATAGTTAGAACAGGCGAATATATAGTCTTAAATAATTTGGAGGGTTTACTCCAGGAAGTCCCACCGTACCTCATGTAGGATATGCGCAATTAGATGTGACTGGTGTACATGTTACCTTGGCATTTCAAAACCTGTCCACGTAACCCAAGTTGCTCTTCATCGATCTCTCAAGTTGGTCACTCACCTCTTTGACGACTATCCGTATCTGTTAGCAGGAATTCGACGTTTTGTTTTCCAGATGTTCTCCGATGTTTTGTTTTGTCCAGAAATAAAATCACCACCCATTCGATACTTTCCGTGCCCGGGCATTTCAAATGCTCCATCAGCCATATTTTCGTGTTATGGATGCCTGTCAGCAAGCCAAACAGTGCCTCGTGAATTAGAATGCCGTGGAAATCGCATCATTTCAAAGACAGTATTGGTATCATTTCTGACGCTATACATCTTGCGACTGTTTTACGATTATCTTTGCACGAACAGACAAAACTGGAAACAGAAAATGACTACCTTTGTCCCATTTCTTTGTACACTGGCCGAGGAAAGTGGAACAGAATTCGGATCGAAACATCGGACTAATTACCAGACTGTTCATAGCGCATACGCCTATCAAACTCCACCGGCCAGCTGCGGAATCCTGTTTATGGAAACTTTAGTTGAGCGTTAATCCTCTTTGGACCAGTCGTATGTTCGAGTTAGACCTGTGCATGAATCAACTCTCTGATTCTGCTCTTGTTGTAATACTCCAAGAGGTTCCAATCTTCCTGGCACGTATCTGTGTGAAGCAGGTGTGGTGAAAGTTCTCCGGCCTCCCAGGTTTCGTGGAACATCCATTCACTTTTCGGACTCTGATTCACACGTTGTGCATGTTGGTTCGGTACATTGTTGTACCGCATCTCGTCTGTTTGCACCGTTGTCGTTTCAGCACAATGTGTCCCGCCTGGCAAGTGTTCACCTCCAAAAGACAACTTCGATTGTTCATATCTGTTTTGATTTCCGAAACAGGGGAATTGCCGTTAGGAAACAGGCGACACTTCAGTGGATATGATAGCCACGTAGGACTTCTACAATGGAACCAAAGCGATGGTACTGAAGTCCACCTAGATCAACCTGAGATTTCCAGACGCCTGATCAAGTCCGATGGAAGACCACCGGTGAACTGAATGTTTCTCATCTTTCCAAAAAACTCTGTGTGCGGTTCAGTACAGTGTGATAGCGGTTGACAAATTTCGCCTGGTACTTCATATTCCGATAAATCTGGTGCACAGGGACAACGAGAACTTTCATTCCTTGAAAGGACAAAGCTAAATTATAACGAAACCGACTAGCAGTTCCATACAGGAGAGATGGACTTCCTGCTTCACAGATTTATCTACAGAACATGGAAGCGGATATGACCTCGGAGCGTAAAACGACTCCTAAGTGCTTCTTTGGGTAGTGTGACCACAGAATCATGTCTCAGAACATTGCACAGCATTCTGAAGCCTACATCATCCGTCACTTTCCCTCCATGAGAAGTTATGGAGAGAACATCTGGCGAAAACCAACTTTTGCGACATATTTCGTTCAGAACTTTTCTTACAAGTATCGTTCACGAAGGATACCCGTCACAAGCTCTACTGATGTTTAATATAGAACTCAAGATATCTTTTTTGTCAGAATGTGCGTTAACACACGTTTCCACGCGAGGCACACGAATAAAGTATTCTCAAGTCCCGCTGCTAGCTTCGACCTCATTCAGATCTTGATCCTACGAGCCCAAATTCGAGTTTCAAAGCGTATGCGAAAGGAGTTTGTCTGTCAGTATACTCTAGTACTTTTCATTGCCATGCTGCCTTACCGTATTCGAACACTACCTTGGTTCTCTGTTCAACAGTCAGAACGAGTAGAACCCCTTTGGAGAATCTTCTAGTTCTCCCCCCCCCCAAGTACCGCGGAAGACCGATACACCTCACGAGAAGCATGGCAACCAGATAAATAAGACTTCGCTTAAACATGCAAACTCCAGTGGAGAGACGCACCCCGTTTCCCACAGCTAATCTACATGCCTATGGTCATATCATTTTTCTCATTAATCCTGAGGGAACACTGAACTAGTTAATGTGACTATTTCGATTTGGTTTCAAGTAGAACATAAGGTTGACGCAAACTAGGAGACTGCGCCGACCGGATGAAGCCAGAGAATGGTGAAACCGGTCGTGGGTTGTCGGTGAATTTTCAGCAACCTTATAAGTAGTGCATTAAATATATTTCCAATCCTGTTGCACCTGTGAGACACATCCCTCATCCACCTGAGTAAGCTGCTTAGCTGCACGTGCTGGGCTCAACCCGCATCTGTCGTTCTCGTGTCATCACGTGACGGATTTACCCATAGATACATTCCCGACCGTGTCTGGTCGCTTAGACTTCATACGCTACGTTTTGTAAAACAACGAATGCTTAGGCTCCGCGTATTCTGCGGAGACCTGAAGAAAAGAGACGGGTATTACCAGATTACAGCCGTCAATGAGAGCACAGGCTAATCTACGCT